TCATGCCCAGGTCATTTTTGTATTTTTAATAGAGATGGGGTTTTGCCATGTTGCCTAGGCTGGTCTTGAGCTTCTGGTCTCAATAAATCCACCCACCTCAGCCTCCCAAAGTGCTGGGATTGCGGGTGTAAGCCTCCGTGCCTGGCCAGGCTCCGGATTTTCTCATTTATAAACTATGTGAGTGGAACTCCATGATCTCATGATCCCTCTTTCAGCCCCTCAGCTCTATAAGTGGAAAACATCTCCAAGGAGGCAGGACAAGCTCACAAAACTCCTGTTAGCTTTGTCTGTTCAAGCTAAAAGTTTGAAAGTTGAACTAAACAGGGGTCCTTACGGAGCTGTGGTGTTTGTGCACAAACCTGGATGTATTCAGAGAATTTGCATGCCATCAAGCACCACCAAAACTAATCAATTGGGCACCATGCACTCCAAATAAGCAGAGAAATAGAATTCCACAAAGGCTTCCCAGACATGGATGTAAATACAACCGCAAATAGAACCAGACTGTCTCTACCTTGTCTATGGCTCAGAGGCAGGCAGAACTGCCCCGAGGGCTTTGAAACATGCCAAAAATGTACAAACCACAGGTGTACTTCTTTTCCTTTGAAAGTGGGTTGTAGAAATTGAAGGAGAAAAAAATGAGAAAATCCTGCTTAAAAATCCACCTTAACTTAGAAGGCTTTTGGTTACAATATTTTGAGCATGGAGGAGATACTGCATACACTCGAAATGTTTTTCAAAGCATAACTGCTAATTAGGACCTTAAATGACTGTGAAAATGCACTACAGACTCACACTAATGCTCCTGGAAGTCCCGCCTTGACTGGCTATGGAGTCACACCTCCTGTGCCGTCCTCTGACACTAGGCATGAGCCACCTCTCCACCGCCAGCTCCCCCAATTAATGGTACAGACTGTCTTCAGACACTTGCCGCCACAGAAGCTGATGGGTTTGTGTTGTTATTTGGTCATGCTACATGTAATTCAGCGAGCCTGTGAATGATGAAGAGGCGTGGGCTGTTTCCTTTACCTCCTTAGATTTGTCAACCAGTGTCTTCTTGGTAAAAGTAGGAAATGCCCTGTAGACTGCCCATAACCCAGATATTAAATTAGAAGGCCACAAGGACCTATTTGGAAACTCAGTCCCACTGCCACCCCTAGCCTCTGCTGATGCCACACTAATATTCCTTATGGCTGGATGTGGTGCCTCACGCCTGTAATCCCAGCACTTTGGGAGGCCGAGGTGGGCGGATCACAAGATCAGGAGATCGAGATCATCCTGGCCAACATGGTGAAACTCTGTCTCTACCAAAAATACAAAAATTAGCTAGGCGTGGTGGTATGTGCCTGTAATCCCAGCTACTTGGGAGGCTGAGACAGGAGAATCGCTTGAACCCAGAAGGCAGAGGTTGCCGTGAGCCAAGATCACACCATTGCACTCCAGCCTGGTGACAGAGCAAGACTCTGTCTCAAAAAAAAAAAAAAATTGTCCTTATGCACACATATGGTTTATGCAAACATTGAGTGTAACAGTGTTTTCCACACAAAGAATAAACATTCCTGGTAGCATCTGTGGCTTCAATCTTTTAGACGCGGACATCCATTGTGGGCTTAAATTTATCACATTCCAATGTGGACTTAGATTAATTGGGTACCCTCTACCTCGTACGCACAGTAGGCTCTGGCAGCCTGCTTAATGGAATCAAACAAAATATTGCACTCACTGTGCAATTCTTCTGTGTTGTTGACAACAAGCTGTTTCTTTCAGCCACATTCAGCATTGTATCTTTGATCAAAAATGGAAATACAAACCAGTCAGAGTCTGGCTGGAGGATTCTGGCAGCCTCTCTGAATCTCTTAGATAAGCTCTAATTTGAAACAACAGCTTTTGTTCGTATAGGGGAGCCTCCACAGAGCCTTGTAAACATGCCTTTCTATCTTAGGGCATAATGTTCCGCTCAAATTTAAGTGCTGCTTTGTAGGAATTCAAAGACACCTTCTGTATATTTATTCTCAATCAGTGACAGAACAAAAGTCTGGGATTCGAAGAAAAGTCTGGATTGAAATCCATACTGTGGTGTGGATTTTATTGGAGGGAGGGAGAGAGCCGACTTCAGTACCTAAACCAGTGCTTGTCCGCTTATCACAGCAGAGATCAGTGAAATTCTCAAAAAACATAACATCAGTAAAATACTTCTATTAGAGCTTAAAATTTTAAAGGAATGGTGTTCCATGGAACAGACCTGTCCATTTACTTACAGGCATGGCTGCCTTCTGATGGGCAGAATAGGACCATGGGGCTTGTGGCTGGAAGTTTCTGCTACTCATCAGAAATGACCTTGTACCAGCCAAGCCATTCCTAAGCCTTGTTTTTTTTTCAACTGTCAAGTAGGGAATAACAATCCCTATCTATTTACAGAAGTTTTATTAGAATGAAATGACTTTTCACCTAAGCCATTGTGGAGTTACTGATTGATTCCTTCAAGCGTTTATTACAAAATAGTCGAATCAATCTATCTTGAAACTTTTTATGTATAAATGGGATGTTCTTTGAGCTTGTGACTAACATACTAACAACTGTGAGACAAACTGACTTGGAGAACAGTTTTCTCCCTAAAACCACACACTTACCCATGGCTACGTTAAATGCATATTGTGAATATAGACTCATTTAACCCTCATAAAAGCCTTAGAGGTGTATGTTATCCTGATGTTACAGATGGGAACTCTAATGCTTAAAGAGGCATTATCACTTGTCCATGATCCCGCAGCTACTAAATCTGGTTTAAATCAGCTGTGGAAAAACTAAAAGGGTCTTGTTTTTTGTTGTTGTTTTTGTTTCGAGATGGCATTTCACTCTCGTCATTCAGGCTGGAGTGCAATGGTGCAATCTCTGCCTCCCAGGTTCAAGTGATTCTCCGGCCTCAGCCTCCCAAGTAGCTGAGACTACAGGTGCATGCCACCACATCCGGCTAATTTTTTGTGTTTTTAGTAGAGGCAAAGTTTCACCGTGTTAGCCAGGATGGTCTCAATCTCCTGAATTTGTGATCCACCCGCCTCAGGCTCCCAAAGTGCTGGGATTACAGGTGTGAGCCACCACGCCTGACCGGGTCTTGTTTAAACACTGCTCAAACCCTTTCTTATCAGGGGTCTTTACCAGAGCTGCCACCCCAGCGATAGTAAAAATAAGATCCAATTCCCCAGAATCAAACTAACCCTTTAGAAAATTTCATAACAAGAGGACAGCACAGAACCCTGACTGCAGCCCTCAGAACTGCTACCTGAAGACAGAAGTACATCCCACTCGGGAACTGCCCATGTGCTGGGCTGGGGAACAGGAATTCCTTCATATCCATTGACTCTCTGCAGTGGGTTGCTCCCCTGTGCCCCATCATCTACCCATTTGCTGGAAGCCATATCCCCTTAGACATGCTCAAAGCTTTGTGACCCCATGAATGTGGAATAAATAAAAACGCCATCCTTATTCTGTTTCTATGCTTCTTTGGGAGACTTTTTAATGATGGTTTAAATACAAATTTTGTAAAAGGCAGGAAATTATGAAGAACAGAATATCCGCTTGTAAAACCTACCTTAAGCAATGTGAAAATCATTGCTGATTAGGTTGAAGAAATTTTCTGCCCAGCTTAATAAACAAGGTGGAAAATTTAAAGTTATAACAAGGAAGCATAGCATTGGATCTATCATTAAATCACAGCTCTGAATATTTGTGACAAAGATTAATCCTTGGCCATTCAAAGCTACACACACACACACACCACACACACACACCATAAAGTATAAGAACCGGAATTGTAAAAGGTAAGACAGCAATGAGAAGCAAAGAACAAAATAGCTAAATTTCCCACAAACACATGTAATAAAAGACATTCTATTGAATGGGAAGGATGAATGAATAGGGAAGTAAAGGATATAGGGCTGCATATCCCTTCACCCATCTGTGTACCCATCCATTTGCTCTGGGCAGAACCAACCAGTGACAAACTCCATCCACAGATCAGCACAGAATGGAGTGCTTCATACAGATGCATACCTAAGCCAGGATGTTCTCAGGCCATCTTGCTCACTAGCAGCTAGCTTTGATGAAGGTGTTTGTAGGTGTGACACCAAGGATATTAAGTCTGGTGCAAGAAAATCCTATCATTGAGAACCAGAAAGGACTAGATGTGTTCAAACTATGTGTACATGGTTAGAAGCTGAAAAGAAATAATTCAAAGTCCTGTTTGTTTTGTTATTCTACTGCCCATTACTAGGAAGAATTGTTTGATAAAGAAATTCAGAGGTGGATTGAGGACACTTGGTAGTGAAAAAGCTCATAGGAAAATGAGCCACTCAACTGTTTTCTTTCACCAGGGTCACACAGAACCACCTTTATACTCACTAGAAACTGCATTTTGCTTTGACTTCATTTTGTGGATGTCTGAACTTAACTGTTAGTGGTTGAGTTTAGCAGTGAAAAATACTGAATTGCTGCTTGGCGTGGTGGCTCACGCCTGTAATCCCAGCACTTTGGGAGGCCAAGGTGGGTGGATCACCTGAGGTCAGGAGCTCGAGACCAGCCTGGCCAACATGGTCTACTAAAAATACAAAAATACAAAACCCCATCTCTACTAAAAATACAAAAAAATTAGCTGGGCCTGGTGGTGGTCACCTGTAATCCGCTACTCAGGAGGCTAAGGCAGGAGAATCGCTTGAACCTGGGAGGTGGAGGTTGCTGTGAGCTGAGACTGCACCATTGCACTCCAGCCTGGGTGACAAAAATGAGATTCTGTCTCAAAATGAAAAAAAATAAGAAAAATAATATTGAAAGCTAGAGAGAAAACATTTCATACCTGGTAATCTCAGAGCCCTGAGATGCTCTGCACTACAAATAACAGCAGCATCTATTCGTTGCCATCTTCTGAGGCATGGTAAACTACCCTTTAAAGATTTTCTTTTATGAAATAACTTTGCTGTGCTTAATCTGCAAGATGAAAAGGATATGAATGAGATCTTCATCGTCACTGTGGATTGCTGTGTGAAGTTGATCTTCCAAGTACAATAACTTCTTGCCTATATCTTCACACTTTTCTCCAAGTTCTGCAGAAAGGATGTAAGATTCCTGGCAGGAGGGGGGAAACAAGATCACTTGTTAGAGCCATGAACACAGACAGTACACAAAGGGAAGGTTTCTTGAAAGAGCTCTCCTGGTTTCTGTACCTGTCAGAATTGTGCTAGAGCCTGTGTCTTCCCTGGGGATCAAACTTGAGAAGATGTGAACTGATTTCAAGTTATGACCAAAGAATGCGTTTTGTCTACATAGCTCCATAGGTTACCTCCCTTTCCTCATCATTTCAAAGTGCTGTTTCCAGTATGTCAAGTCCCAAAGTGGATTTATCAAACAGAAACCCTGAATCTTCCAGCTGTATCAACGAGCAAATTCATAATTTAATAGAAATTCTTTTAAAAAGTGGGGAGGGGGTCACAGGAGCAACTGGGCTAACCTGTAAGGACAAAGGGAATATTCCTTTAGGGACACAGAAATTGACAAGGGCACTGAACATTTGTTTGCACACTGACCACAGTCCCTGAGTGCTAGACTTTAAGTGCCACGAGGTGTATATTGCATATATAGCTGCTGCCACCACCATACACAGGAATGTAAGCCCCGTAAGAGCAAGATGATGATGTCTTTTGTGCTGCTGGCCCTAGAGCCCCTGGCATACCCTGGCACATGACAGGCACGTAGTATTGACTGGTTTGATGAATGAATATTGAGTCTTAGAGCGCCTTCCTTCTCTCATGTTTTCCCTTCGAACTTATTCCTATGAGCCAGAAAAGGACCTTCTTTATGTCACTTTCCTCCACAAAACCACCACAGAGCAGAGTCCAAACTCTGCCATCATGTGACCTGGCAGAAGGTCCATGGTTCAGCTGTATCCCCTTTTCTCTCCTAAAGGCAAGCTAAGCTTGCCAACCAGACTAACCCCATTGCCTTCTCTCAAGCAGTTCTTCTTGCCCATGCATTCTTCCCCATTCTTCTCTGAAACCCAACCTTTCCTTCAAAGGCCCCAAATAATTTCACCTTGTAGTACAGCCATTCTGATAAGCGCTGTATGTGTCCACTCAAGTGAGTGTAAGCTCCCTGCAGGTAAGGACCATGGGTTAGTCATTCATTCATCCCAGGGCCCCAAGTCGAATGCTGTCCATGTAGAAGTCCACAGATTTGTAAAGGAAAACAATAAACAAGGTTAAGAAAATGAGAACAGAAAATAGACATTCTTAGAATAAAGCAGGGGAAGATGCAAGAAATGAGCTCAGAATTAAAACTTAAAAGTAAAGGTAACATTTCTTCAACTAAGAGTGAAAAGCTTAGAAGAGTCAGGCATGGTGGCTCACACCACTTTGGGAGGCCTAGGTGGGTGGATCATGAGGTCAGGAGTTTGAGACCAGCCTGGTCAATATGGTGAAACCCTGTATCTACTAAAAATACAAAAATTAGCTGGCACGTTGGCTGGCACCTATAATCCCAGCTACTCGGGAGGCTGAGGTAGGAGAATCGCTTGAACGTGGGAGGCGGAGGTGGCAGTAAGCCGAGACCGTGCCATTGCACTCTAGCCTGGGCAACAGAGCAAGACTCCATCTCAAAAAAAAAAGAAAAGAAAGGCTTAGTAGACACTGTAAAAAAAAATTCTGCATAAGGGAAAGGATTAAGATATGTATTCAGCTTAAATTGCAAGGTTACTACAAAAGCTACAAAGAATGTCCAACAATAACAACAAATGCCCAGGTGTGAGGTAATAGTCATTGATAAAAAGACTTTGGAGATGATGCGTTATATAATATTATAATCAGAGTCCATAAATGACAATTAAGCCCAGTATATAATTTGACTTTTGCTATATTATCTTTAAAATTTACATGTCAACTACATTAGAATAAAATAGTGCCAATGGGAACTGCAAATAACTATTGCAAACATTGGAGAAGTCTAGAATACTGAAAGAATGAGCTATGAGCTATAGAATGAGCTATACTCATTTACTGCAAGGAAATGTATATAGAAAAGAAATCTAGTGGCAATAACATACAATTCTGAGGACATGTGGACACAATTAAAGGAACTTTAATATGAAGGACCCATGAAGGTTTACTCAAAATTGACCATAACAGTGGTGAGAAGGCAGCAAATACATAAAAATCACAAATACATAAATACACACACACACACACACACACACACACACACACACCCCTATATACACACATACATATACACATATATACATATATATGTGTATATGCGTATATATAGATATATTTTTACTGATCCTAAAATAAAATTATCAGCCAAAGATGTGAAATTAAGGGTAGACAGATTATATGGAAGTGTAGACACTGGACAATGAGTAACATCATCGTCACACCTGAAATAAATGAGACACTAAGAAAAAGAACATCTGGGAAAAAAATGATTGACACTCATGAAACCACAAGTCATACAGGAAAAAGAAAAATACAGTGTTAGCAGGAAAACATATATATGACTGACAACACACTTAAAGAGAGAAAAAGCATAGACTCAGAACAGAAAACCAAGGAATTTAAAACACCCTTAAATGACTCAATCTTCATCTTGCGGCTTCAACAAATATGAAATCAAAGCCAAATTAAACAAATTTAAAATATAGTTTTACATTTCTCCCCCAAACATATAATTCCTGCCTGTTTTCCTTTTTAAATTATGTGCAGATTGATTGTAATGGCATAAATTTTGGAAAGCAATTTCATACCACATAACAAGCGCTTTAAATTGTTCATATCTTAGGACCAAATATTCCCTTCCTGGAAGTTATCAAAAAGAAATAATTTGTTCATTTAAATTGAAATAACTTTTATTAAGCCCTTGTAATAAGCATGCAAAAATGCCTATAACATATATATCAAATAGAAATAAAAGATTTTAACCATGCAAAGATGGTGGCATTAAAAATATGGGACATAGGAAATAACTGCCCAGCAATAAAGGGAATAATTAAAATAAGTTCTGATACATTAGATTAGTATTTAGCCATTAAAGTCATTTTTAATAAAAGAGCATTTAATGATGATGAAATAAATAGGCAAAGCATTAAAATATTTATAATTATTATTTTGAGGGGCAGTATTACAGGAAAGTTTTATTTTCTTCTTTATACTTTCCTGAATCTTTAACATCTCTAACATTTGGGAAAAAGTTACCAAAAACCCTAATTCAAACCATAATGAAAAAGGGAGAAATTTACCTGAAATTTTTTTTAGTTTTTTTAGAGATTAAAAAACCAAACAATATAGCAGAAGGGAACAAATTCAGGGAGCTCAATTCACCATGTTCGGTAACAGAAGATCGATTGGCATTTTTGTGGGGCTGCTTTTTCCAAGGCACAAGTTACAGGATCTCTCTCAGGCTCCTGCAGAAACCATTACTTGCTGGGCTGACAGCTTCTAATTCTGAACTGAGAGGATGCTGAATGTGAACCAGGTGGATGTTATTTGAGAGATGTATTACTTTACTATAATGCTCTCACTCGGAATCTTAGGAATAGATTAGTTTAGACCTAAACTGAGAATTGACAGCTGATGAGAGGATAGGTTGACATATTTCTATCAATCTGATGAAAAGTTCTGTTCTGTCCAAAGAAATCTGTCTGTCCAGAGAGAGCAGAGTGGGATTAGAACCACGGGTATCAGCTATGCAAAGTTGCCCAGGTCCTACCTGTTAGCCCATAAATCAGGGACTAGGGAAAACTTCCTTGGCCATTTCTATGCCATGCCCAGGTATGGCAAGGTATACATATGGTCATAGCAACACACTTTTCTGGAACATTACTTCTCCACCATCAAGAAACAGTTTATTACTTCTCTTCTTAAACCTGGGTGGCCCTTGAGATTCCTTCAATGAACAGAGTGAAGGTGACATTGCCTGACTTGCAAAGTCAGGTCATAAAAGGTGACATGCCTTTTCAGATCACCCACCCTGGAACCCAGCCTCCATGTTGTGAGGAAGCCCAAGTTACATGGATGGGCTGTTTATAGATGTCTGGACGAGAGCCTCAGCAAAGCCCCAGTCAACAGCCAGACTTGGGAAGGACTGAACCTTTAGATGGTCCCAGCCCTTGTCCTCAAGTCATTCAGCTAATACCCAGACATTGTGGAGCAGAAACATCCTCTCGCAGTGCCCTACCCCAACTTCTGATCTACAGATCCACAAATATCATAAATAGTTCTTTTAAATCACTAAGTTTCTGGCGATTTTGATGCAGCCATAGCAGCTAAAACAGTGGGCTTACATGGGTTGTCCCTACACAGAACCTTGCACAGGTGGATAGAACTATTGCAAAATGCTAGCCAGAAGTGCATCTTCACTGGTACCTAGTTAGGGAGCCATTGTGATGACTGACTAGACTTTTGAAGCTCACTAAAGTCTTAATGCCCAGACTCGTCCCAGGGAGGGGAGCTCTTACCCATGCTGGGAACTATGGCCATGAGACTGTGAAGTGCAATGAAGACATTACAATGAGTGGTCACTGCCACTGGTCAGTGATCCCAGATCCCTGACTCCTGGTTCAATAAGTTACTGAACAGTACAGGCATATATTCTGAGTGAGTGTGAGTGTGTGTGTGTGTGTGTGTGGTCAAAATTTCCTAGAAAATTCCTCAGGAAGACAGTGAGTCCAACATATTGGATTGCAATATGACCCACAGGGCCTCACTTACTTCCAGCTTTGCGAGAAGCGGCTCTTTCTTCAGTGGACACTTAGAGCAAGGTGCTCACATCATGAGAGGTAGAAAGGTAAGAAGTACACACATTCCTGTCTCCCAGGCCCTCACACTCACCTTGGGGCACAGCTACTTCCTAAAGAACAACATTGCTGTCTAGTTAAATGATTGTGTCCTCCTGGTATGTGAGTGTTTATATGTTACAGTCACATAGGACGGTATAGTGAGCATCAAGCATATTACACTACTTCAAGTTTTTCCCTTGCTTTGACAGCACGTTGCTGGAGTGTGTTCTCTCAAGCCAGTGGGCCTTAGGCCTTATTCTGCAGAGATCCCCTGGTAGGAGCAAAGGGTTTTTACTGT